ACTGTTTGTGTGTGCACAGGGTTCCGCCGTAAAATTTAAACGTGCAGAAAAAAACCATCAATGCCTTGAGTGTGCGCCGATTCGTCGCGTCAGCAATGACCATCTGGGCCTGCGGTGTTGGCATAGGATGATGTGGCGGCCTGTCTGTTCCCCGAGCGACGACTTGCTTTTGCTAAATTTGGTCTCAGAACCGAATATGGATTGGGCAAATCGTTGAACTTGCTGATGGATTGGGGGCCCGTGAACCATGACTAAAGTAACTCTCAGTTCACTCTACCGTCACCTCTTGCGAGAATTTGAATGCGTGGTCGGGTTTCGTCGAATGAACCGCAACCTGAGAATTACCATTATTTCGCCACACCGGAATGGCCACTTCTGGTTCATTAGCCGTCATCAATCTCTCATAGGCAACCCCACTTAGTGATGATTAACGCTCTGCGGATGCTGGCGGGTCTCAATCGCAGCCCTTCTCTCTCCTCTCCCGAGATCCAAAATCATTCTGATAAAAAGATATCTTGGACTATGACGAGCAAGCTTTTGAAAGGATAAGGGTCAAACTGTCGTTCCTGGACTTTGCGAGGGTGGTAGTTTTGAGTAGCAGAGTAACATGTTAATGGCGAAAAGCAGCAAACGGAAAAAGTAATCGAAATTTAAGTCGGCGCTTATTTACATAGGCTGCCGATGACCAACTGCTTTAAAACTCAGTACGTTAACTTTGCATACATGCCTACTTATTTCTTATAAGTAGGCATGCTTTTTTATTACTTGTGCACCAGCTTTTTCAGGCTCCCTTCCCTATTCCCTCCAGGCTGGTAATTCAAGGTATACATTGCATGGGCTATGCACACGCTATCAATTAGCTATACACTATAGGCCTCATAAAACCGCTCTGAATTAACAGCGGTTTTGATGTGAAGTGCGATTCAAATATTAACAGGCCTGTCGCCATATACAACCTCTGCAGACGAAATTCTCTCCCTCATATTATATCGTTCATGGTTCAACTAAAGGATGATTGACATTCAGCACGTCGTCCAGTCACTTATTCAAACAGTAAATTTCCCCAAAACAAACAATTACGCTATATACAGGGTGTCCCAGAAAATGTATACACATTTTAACTAATTGTAAACTTGATGTTTATTATAATTTTATTATTTCAAAAATGAAAGCAATATTTAAAAGCATCATTTTATTATTTGTTAATGCATTTTGACTATTGCAACAGTAGCTGCATTGAGGGAAGCCACTGAGCGTGAATGCACCAGAATACCAAAATAATTGTTTCATGTGTGTGCGATTCCATTGCTTCGCGTTTTCAGCAGTGTCGTGATCAAAATGGACGTCAGTCTGAGAACATTCAGTGAAAAAGCAATACAATTATACTTGCCAATATTTCGTTAATAGTCAAATAAAAAATGATGATAAACACCAATTACACCAATTTTACAATTACGTAAAATGTGTATACATATTTTTGGGACGCCCTGTAGTTCTTGGATATTCAAATAATACCTCTATCTCATTCTCAAACTGCTACTTCCTCTCAGTCCCTCAACTCCCCGTCGCGATGTGATGACCCAGAGCAGACCGTCCGAAACCCAGAGGTAGAGATTGATTCGGCCAGTCTTGGCATCATCATTGTTTGTGCAACTCATAGTATCAGTGAGGTTAAACTGAGCGATTAGCTGGATTTTCGTGAGGGTTGCACACGGTGCTGAGTGTGCCAACTCAGCATTCGGCCGCTGACTGACTGACTAACTGGCACTTTGTTGATGATATATTTCCATTGCCGTCAGGTTTCGAGGCTCTGCTGAAAAACGGCGATGCACCCCAGAGAATCCGTCTTCCCATGGAGTAATGACTGGCAGACTGTAGAAGTAGATACGCTAGAGTACCGCGAGTAGAGGTTTTTGTTAAT